GAGCTTGCAGTTAATCAGAAAAACAATTAAAACACTTCATACCTTGTGGTCAGATAACAAAATATCTGACAGCTGCAATTTTTTTTTTTTCAAATAGTCATTTTTGCAATTAGTGAAGAAATAGTGACCAAAAAAGAACTAAATTTAGATTAGAGATTTGTAAACTAGGCTTCTTTGGTTTTTATTTTAATTGTATTATGTGATAACTCTGCATTTTAATTGGCACTTGGATATCAAGATGATAGACACCTTAAAATACAATGACAGAAGAATTCGCAACAGAGAAAGACACTATCAGAAGTAGAGACGAAACTACTTTATCCACTAACAGGTAAGGCACAACATGGGTAAGTACCATCCTGAAGAAAGTAAGACAATCCTAAATCCTACCCCTCTTGTCGTTTAATGTCAAGCCATTATAATCGAGGAAGAAGGGAAATCAATGGTATTAGATTATATGATTTTTATACTCAATCATACCACTTATTCCTCTTACTTGAACCTCTGTGCTGTGTTTTCTCTAAACACTTGCACCCACCGAATTTTTTGTGACAGTGTATTTTACATGGTGTAAAACCCCTCCTGTATAGGTAACTCTTATGTACATCTAGACAGCGATAGCAAACGTGCCATAAGCTTATTCTACAGAATTCAAGGCACTGAAGCACTGATTCCCCTCACAGTTTTGCAATGTACAATGCAAACTACATTTCCCTGGAACAAGGTGAGATTACATTTTCATTTTAAGTGCAACAACCAAAGACTGAGGTTATGCCACCAGTGACATAAATTACTGGATATTAATAAAAGTGTGACTATTCAGATTCAAATGGAAACCAGCAACCCGGGAATTTTAATAACTTTTATTTTTTCACACAACTTTGAAAAGTGGTTTTAGTCAAATCATGAGCAGCTGGCACTGAAAATGCAAAGCTTCAGCCAGTTCCAAAGTCCTTGCCTGGTTGACGAACTTTGAAAATATCAGCTCCTCTTTGGCCAAGAGCCAGAAACTTGGCTTCCCCAACCAAAAAGGCTGTCTTGCAGGGCTGGAAAATGGCAATGCATATGCAGGCGAGGACCTGGGCTCTCTTCCTACGGCCCCATATCCATTAGGTGCCCTTTTCCTAAAAGATGCAAGGGCAGCAGTGAAAGGGATCCCTCCACAACCCAGGTTGCATCCTAGGGATAGGACTAGAGAGCGTCATACTGGGGACTCCTCCCCTCCTGGTCCATGGCAGACAGGGAGTGGGGCATAAAGAACCTCCAGGATCCACTCCTTGCAGCTACCCACAACCACTGTCACCCTAGTAAAGCTAGGGTGGCATTTTCAAACTTTTATTTTAAATGCCAGAAACTTTCACTAAAATGTAAGCAGAGTGTCTCAATGAAGTCAAACAGTGCCATGAGCTGGAATCTAACCAAAACCATATATTGCCTATACTTACAGATGCTTCTCTTTTGGTGAAAGGTATGAATTCTTCCACATTTACCAAAGCCCACACTGTCCAGGGGTTAGTCACTATGTCCTTCTGGTCTTACCACTAGCCCATAGTAAGGAAATTCCCACCTGTTTTAATGCCTTGACACACAAGAGCAGGAGACAAAAGTCTCCTGTGAAATGAACATAGCCAGAACACATATTCAAGCTGCAGCCTGAAACAATCCCTCCTGGCTGAGCCGCAAAAAGAACTCTCAAATGCAGAGGATGAAGAGCTGCCAGGTGGCAAAGAGTCCCCCACTGGAAAAAAAAACACTCACGGTTTTGTGCTGGAGGATGATGAGAAGGAAGAGAGAGCACTTTCTTCCTAGTAAAAGTCTAATAAAGAACAGGGCCAAGCACACTGGAGAAGGAAAAGACGCTCCAGTCCCCAGCAGACACAACGGGACGAGCAGACGGTGCTCTACCTTCTTCTCAAATTTAATTTCAAGGCAATAACTGAGCCATGATGTGAGTCTCTCAGCTGTTTCATTTATCTTGTATGGTGTTGGCACATATGGAAACAAAGCTGGAAACCCCAATACAAAATGTGCTGCTACGTTGATGGGGACAATCATCCCGCAAACATTTGTTAGGACATTTCAGCGAAAGCCCTTCCCCATACAGTTGTACAAACACAGCACCCTGATTCAGCTGTCGAGGAATAAGGTCAGCAGAGACTCTTACTTGCCTGAGGCTCCCCAGTGTTACAACCCCGAGCAGTACAAAATTAAGAGATGTGCTTAAAAGAGAAGGTTAATTACAAAACAAACTTGTTTTGTGTCCTTCATGTTTTGTTTTCAGGATCTTTCTTCCAGCTACGCTTGCCCATGTGACCTCCTGGTTCCTAAAGCCTGCACTACCAGAAAAAACAAATATCAAAAGACTTTTCAGCACACCTCTGAGACTTGGCAGCATTTCATGTTTCTCATCTTTTCGGTATGTACCAACACTTAGGGGAGATTTGCAAAACCCTGAGATCATCATCAACAGCCCTTCAGGGCTTTTCTAGCTATCAGGCCGTGGTTACTTTCTTCCTTCAAACTTGGCTTTACAGATCACTTGGTGGCCTGTAGCAAGCTGGCAGGTCATATGGTGTTGACTCATCTTTTTTTTTTTGTTTCCAGATTTCTCTCTCAGACAGTCAGACATTCAGATGAAGCAGCCCAGACCCTTACAGAAGAAGCTGGGACTAAGACAGAGGCACAAGCTGATTATTTGTCTGTATTAGGAATTATTTCCTGAAGAGAGGTAGAGGAGAAAAACAAGTGCCATCCTGGCAAAGAGAGACACTGATGAGATGACATACAGTAGGCCCTCTGAAGCAACGGCAGTAGCTACCAGAGAGGGAGAGAGAAGGAGCAGGCAGGAGAAGAGCCTGCAGGAAAGCGAGGCAGACAAGGAGCTGGTGGAAGAGAACTGCACACGGGGTGAAGAAACAGAGCTGACACAACAGCGTTTTAAAGGCACAGCAAAAAGAGATGTTCAGATTTTTTTTCCGCTACCATATCACATTAAGGACTGCTAAAAAACCCCCAACCAAACCCTCCTAATACTACTTCTCTGTGTAAGCAATTGCAGTCACTGCTACAGGGATGTTGTCTGATGACAAATGGGATATTGATTGGCAAGGGAGGTGGTACATGAGATAGGCTCTCTGTTAAGATGTGAACCACAGTTAGAGAAGTTTGAGAATCCCTGCTTTCAAGGCTATAAAGTTAACTATAGGTAAGAAAGTCCACTTTTCACATGTTTTCTTCTAAATCATGTTTTTTAAGCTGAGAACATAAATAGGATCTTTATCAAGGACTTGTCAAATCATTTGTTTTAAGTTAGATCCTGAATGCTCAGGAAATGATCAAGATTATAAAAGAAACTTTTTTGTTACGGCTGCATCACTTGTCCCCTTATCACCAGGAAAAGAAGCGACGGGTATTCATTAGTATTCCTGTTACAACCCTTACAGCTACGCTGTATAAGCCACTCTAGCTGTATGCCAGACTCCCCATTTTATGCAGGATACTTAAAAGAAACGTCATCTCATTGTGCGTATGGCACGAAGAATACAGCAACTTTTGTCATACTTCAAAACACAATAAATTAAAAAAACACAAGAAATGTAAGAAATCTCTTTTAAAATGGAATAAATTACATAAATAATAACACGGTTATTAGAGTTTTAAAAATCCCCAAGTGCTATGCTTATGTTTTCATATATATCTACAGGCGGTATTTGGAGTTCATATAAGACTTGTGAAAAATTGTACTGTCTCTTTTGTGCAGAACATACGTTTTACAAATATAACAAAGTACACAAGAAAGTGCAGGATAATATACACACATTTTCTCTAGCTAAATAACTAAAGGTCATGTAATGCACTTGAAAGAGTACTTCAAAAGACCGTAACAGGTAGAAGTCCTACTAAACAAGCATTCATCCAGGATGGAAATAGTTTCTGAGTTACACATTTTTGCAAAACTATTTTAAAAAGTCAAACCACCTGAGCACATGAGAAAGTAAACACATTTAAAAACCCACCCTAATATTTGGATGCATGTGGCAAGCTCACTTCAAAGTACTGAACTTCTAAATGAAGTCTAATCATCTGTATTTCAACACATAACCCAGCATTCAAATCTACTCTAAAATCTGTTATTTCAATTAAAGTCTTCAAGTTTATAACATCAGATATACCTATAACTTAAAAAGACAATTTCTCCACAAAGTAATTTCAATAATTTGGACCAACTAACTTTTTTCCCCAAGGGACAGGAAGAACACTTTTTGGACCTATGATATTATTTATTTTTGAAATATCAAACCACCAATTGCTTCCGACTGGTGCGGTCAAACCACGCCATCTTTGATGACCATCAGCACTTGATACCTATCTAACATTCATTGCGGAAGTCAAAACCATCATGCTTTTAACAAAAAATCGCCCATATACTTTAATCCTCTCAACGGCACCCACAATGCCAAGTATTACAGACTTTTAAAACCTCACTCTCTTGAAAATAAATAAATAAAATAATTGTGGAGGATCAGTAACCAGATAGTATTCTCAAATTTCAGTGATGTAGTCAATGGAGCCTTCCCCCATGTACTGTGCTCTGTTTCATGCAGTACATGGCTTTAGCTGGCCAAATCTTTTTTTTTTTCCCACTGAATCAGTAGAACAGTGAAGATCTTACTTTTTTTTCTTTTTTCTTTTTTTTTTTTTTTTTTTTTTTTTTTAAGCAGTGGCATATCAATGAGGCACAGATGTGTATTCCAACTCTGCATGGATGAGCACACTGTTCAATAGTGCTGGCTCACACGGTATCAGGGCAAGTTATCACTTCCCATGAAGGCACTCTTATCACCAGGGCCCAGAGAGGTGGCTGCAAATCGCAGCCTTTTTATTTTCAAGGCAGTTTTGCTGAACATTCAGGCTTCAAAGATTCACACTTCCAAAACTCTATAAGAGTTTGTGAACGCTCAATTTGCCAAAACTGTTTACAGTGTAATTGGGCACCGTACCTGTGTCCATGAGATAGCGAAGGCGCTTCTCCACCAGCGCGGCACGGGTGTCAATTTGCTTTTGCTCATTCTCTAGTGCTGCCAATTCTCCTACAACATACTGACTGGTGTCTTTGAACCCTTTCTGTTAAAGAGAACAAACAAGAAGAAAAAAACATCACTTGTAAGTTGCATTTTTCCTTTCCACAAACACTTAGTAAGGCACTTACCTAAACAACCAAATATCATGCTCGCTACCAAAAAGCTAACACTTACATTTAATAAACTTTACAATTTTGCCAAATGTCCTTATTTGTTTATTAAAATGCCTTGGTTTTTCTTTAGGGAACATTTGATTTTGCAGTTTTTTACTACCTGTCTGGCTTTTTGAAATTCCTGTAATTTATTTCTAAGTACATAAAAGCTGCTGTAACAAAGCATAATGAAAGGAAATGTAATCCAAATAAAGCACTATTTAACATGCCATTTCTACTCTTTTCAGGTCTTATTCAATTTTAAAATGCTAACTTTAGGGGCTAGAAGAACTAGCACAAGAGTCTCTAATGACAATTAAAAAGTGGGCTTTTGAGATGAAAACCAAACCTGAAACAAGCTACCTGGCTTGTTTAGCTCCTCTGGGTCAACTGTAACACCAAGGCTCACCAGTCTGGGCTATCATGCCTCTCTGGGTTCCTCTGACTGCAGACAATTGCCCTGCTACACGGTGATCTGTAAAAATACCGCTAATTACTCTAACTGGGATCCTTATCCTAAGGAGTGGTGACAAATGGCACCGGGCAGATGCTCAGGTGCACGGGGACCAACTCAAGCTGTCCTGCCTCTGCACTGGCTCACACCCAGCCAGGAGGCGGCCCTGGGATGCCACATTGATAAATTGGATTGAACCTTAACAAGAAAGCTGGGGAAACACTAATGAGTCAAGTCTGCCTCTTATACCCTATAACTTCTCAGCATTGCCCTGCAGATGACCACACAAATCTCCAAATATTTCCAAAGCAGTTTGGCTGTCTCACTAGGAGCCCAAGAACAGTCACTTAGTACCTCCCAGTTATTCTTATGTGGCGCAATGACTTTCACACAGTATTTTGGCTGTACCGAGTTACTACAGGCTGTATACAATGCTGAAATGTCATTCTTGAAGCACATTTTTGCATAAGATAGGCAAAAAAAAAAAATATTACTCCGTCTGAGTAACTCCACTTCTTCCTGCTATGCCTACCCCAGAGCCTTGGAGAATGGCTGAAACTGGGGAAAAAAAAAACCCTGGCACAACAATTTCATGTTTCATCTGCACTCTATAAAGGATGCAACTAAAATCACTGTCCTTTGGAAACACAAAAATGCACAGGCTTTTTTGATGAGGCTTATTTCCCTACTAGAGGCTAACTTGTTGCTTTGTAAGGGTCTCAGATATTTTCACCAAATGTTTTCAATTGTTTTTCCACAAAATCATCAATTCGGCTTTGTATTCAGGCAACAGGTCTAATAACCACTTATTTCAAATAAAGACACATTCAAAATGAAGGCTAATGGCATGGCTGAGCTCCCAGGACCAGCAATGAGCACAGAACCTTGAATTTTGGGGTACCTGAATTTAAGCACATTATGCCCCCATTAATTTGGTTCTTCTCTTCCTACACAACAGCCAACAGTATCAGCTCTAGTGGAAAACCCTTTTCTACCTGTTGTATAGCCAGAAAAACAACAACAAAAATACTCCCTGAGAGCAGTCCCTGAAGGGGAAAAAAAAAAAAAAAAATAAAAAAATCAGTCTGGGGAGTTGAGGTGATGTGCAATATATTTCTCTTTCATCGACTATAATTAATCGAAAATAGTATGAAAACTTTCCTAATGTCAGCATGCATAATTGTTAACAATTGTTATTAGAAGATGAAAAGAAATGCTGTGCCAGCCTGAAATATCCCAAGAGTTCATGTGTATCATCTGCATATCTAATACGAACTTACTGTGCCAGACCTTTTCAGCTCTGCAAAAGTACAACTGGGCTATAAATAACTCTGGCTCATAAAAAGTTCGATGTTTTGGTGTAGATATGACAGTGGTACAAAATTGCTACTCAGCTCTAGATTGCTTCAGCAAAAACGACAAATGTGTTTATCTAAACTGTGGAGAGCAACAAACAACCACCATCAAAGGCTGTGTTGTGTTTTCAGACAAAAAAATTCAGGTTAAAACTTGTTTTTCCTGCTTCTGTCCCGCAGCTGTCCATCAAAACCAGCTTTCTCCCCGTGGTCTATCAAATATTTCCCTCACAAATCAATTTTACACATGATCAGCCCATACCCCTACTGAGCTGAACCTCCCCGTTAATTAAGTGAAGAAATTACCATATATATTATATTAATGCAAACATCATTCAGCTAGTAATTCACGGCTGATCTGGATAATGGAAAGGTTGAACACCCATTAACCCAAGCCAACAAAATGGGTTGGCTGAGAAATTCTAGCAGGTCTCATGTGACTCTTCCCTCTAACTGCAGCTCTGCGGTATCTGCTATTGTAATAATTAAAATCCTCCCGGTAGATCAATACTGGAATCTCTTTATGGGAAGTGCCCTGATGGAAATGTCTCAAGGAAACTGGGGCTGTGGAACTCTGAAAAATTCATTTTTTTTATCTGACAATTATCACCACACTGCAGACTAATTCAACAGTGCACCCCTCTCACTCTGCTTTGAATGCACTGGAGATTGACATCTAAAAAAACCTAACATCTCATTTTAACAAATAAAGGCACTATTTCCACATACAGTTTGGAATTATCAGCAATCATGAAACCAGACAAAAAATTAATATACATTAAGCACTTCATCTTCTGATGGCTTCCTCTGAGTCTCAGTTATCGCAGCCTTCTCCTCATTTCCTCTCTTTGTATCTTCCTGTATTGATCTCTGCCTTTTCATCTCTTGAAAAAAGGGGAAAGACATGTAAAATTATTATAAAGCTTGATATTTATGTATTGAAATGTGGACTTACATTATCAGGTTTTCATATATTTATTGTTAAATATTATTAAATCTTAAGATGGGAAAACAGGTTTTATATTTTCTCCTACCTGGTCTGCTCTCCACGTATTGACTGAAAGACTGAAGCTGAGTTTTTCTGACGGTAGAGTCCTTGCTGAACACAACGGGATTTCTAAACCGTTCTGCTGCTTTTTGTAACCGCTCAGCACGATGTTCCTCTGTTCCATTCTGCTAGGGGAAAAACCAGACACACAACAGTTTCTTTTGTTTACAAACGGGAAGACGCGCATTCGAAAGGTACGTTTCGCTGAGGGGACAGGACGCAGCTTTTGCAAAGAGGATTTCACAACTTGGGCTGTGGTTGATATAGGATGAAAGTATCAGCTGCGAAAAAAAAGAGAAGAGTGATTAACGTTTCCTTTTCTTTTTTTTTTTTGTTTTCTTTAATATGTGGTGGCAACAACTGGCTTTTTGCTATGTGGGCACCCTCCTGCAGGACACTCTACTTACTTAAAAGCCAGACCTATTCATTGTGACTGGCATTTGCCAGCAATGCCGATTTTAAATGAAAAATCACTTCTTTGCAACTTTGATTTGCCAAGCGCTGCGCGTGCTGCTGCCAAGTAGCAGCGTCTCTACCCCTGAACATGATCTGTATCATTTTAAAAGCGTGTTGCCTTTAGCCTGTCTCCCTGCCCGGTAAAGAAATCTGTCGTTTTCTGTAGTCCCACAGACTTGTATGACAAGAAGAACTCGTTTCTAATTTTATGCCCATTGAGATAAACCACTAATGCTGGATGAAGGCTAAAAGGTAGGATTATAATACTACCCCACTGAACTGCATTTCATCAGCTATAACTTTCCAAAGCCAGATTTGTAAGTAAGCCCTTTACAGCTAAGGAAACTACAATTATCTTTTCCAGGGCTTCCTATGTTAATACTGGTAACAAATTCAAATGATTCTATCAACACGAAATATCCCAGAAGACTGAGCCACTGCAGTGTGTGGAAACTGCAGATACCGAGGTGCTGTGTACCAAACAAATATTTCATTTTATACCTAATCTTTTATTATTTTTATTAAGTGTTTTGAAAGTAAATAGGGAAAGGCTAAGATGCATGACTAATAGCTAAGCCTGCTGAATGCTGAAACTGGTTATCAAAAGCTACCAAGACTTTGCCCTTCCTCTGCATTGAGACAATTGGTAATGAGGGAGTTCTCCAATGGCCTATTCTCTAGCCTCAAGGAGGCCGGGGATACACAATCCCCAAGGGAAGGTAACAGTTTATCCTTTTCCACAAACACAGAATGCCTCATTTATAAACGTGTAAACTGTATTTTATTAAAAACCAAATCCACCTCAATGCCAAGAGCTCCATGAGAACAGATGGACACCATATATTCCTTATAATACCGCTTACCAACTCTTCCTTGGAAAGACACACACAGAGATAAACTGTTAAGTTGCACCTTTTGTGGGAGTACCTTGAAAAAAAAGAAAAAATCAACTCCTTCACTTTTTATAAAGAGAGATACCATTTTCGCCAGGTTAGGTGATACCAAATTACTCCAAGAGGTGGCCTGTGTGTTATTTGCCGAATTTAGCTTCAAAAAGTATTGCTCATATCCCCTGGATGACTTTTCAGCTGCATTAATTGGGTGGTTATGATTCTGGTTAAATAAAAGGTGGTTTCCTGTTATTAGCACAACAACCATCTGACAGCCTAAACCAGAGTCTTTACCAAAATAAACAAACATGACTAATTTTTTAGGCCTGGCAACATGCTAAAATATCAGTGTGATTAGCCAGTAAATCCCATTTTAAGAAACCTTTTTATGACTGGGGACTTCTGCCACTTTACAAATGTATTCCTCTAAGCCCACTAATTCAGTTAGCCTTTTCAATCCATTGTACTATTCTTGGGCCAGCTTCATTTTGCATTAAATCCACTGCAGAAAGCTAAATTGAACGCAAAAATCAGACTTGATCCAGGCTTCCTTTTGTTCAAAGATAGAGACCGAAAGTCCTCTGCTGCTGCCACACACTTTCATCACCAATTTATAGGAACCGACAGTGTAAGGGAAAAGCAATGAAAGTCATTGTTTTGGGACTTCAAAGCATCTCTGTATCTGGGGAAGGAAATCCTTTCAGTCAGCAGTGCTTTCCCCCCAGACTGCAGGTGGGTGAAAAGTTATACCCAACTGGAAGTGCCCCAGAGCCATACGGATATTAATGACATACAGGGACTATTTTAAAAAAAATATAATGGTAAGAACACAAGGGGTCTAATTAAGAAAATGAAACGGAAAATTGATTAGTGTGCAGTTTATGCTGAAGTGGTGAACATTAAGAATAGGCAAAATGACTGCATACACCGCATGCTCGCATCTATTTTTCTCAGAAGCACTCATTGTCAAGCACCCAAGTATGTATGTCTTTAAAGTGAACCACAGCTTAATTGTAATGGAGAAAAAACAGAGGGTCAGGCTTGGGAGTGAAGCAAATCACTGAGAAGCCAAGCCTGATCCCATTGAAGTCGGAGAGAGTCTCGCTGCTGATTGCACCAGCAGCAGGATGGAGCCCGTGCTGCATTTCTGATTTAAGTGACAACCTGAGCAGTCAGAATTGAGAGATGCAGAGATGCTGCTTACATCTGTTAGCGTTACGCCAATGACAACTATCAAGACATAAAAAAAAAAAAAGGAAAACGTGTTGTTTAATCAACAGGAAAACCCCCGGTGCACTGCAAACTATGCAACTGCGCTGCCATGAAGATTTTCTGTGTTTCTTACTGTGAAGGATTTCATAAGAAATCATTTTCCTCCTCACAAAGTACAAACCTGAAATCGGAACACACAGGTACTGAGACAAAAGCATTAATCAAAACTTACCTTAATGTCTTGCTCTGAGCTATCAGTTACAGCTTTCTGAGCAGCACTGGAGAGTGAATTTGCCACCTGTGGCTGAGCTTCTAGGAGCTTCTTCAGCTTCAAATCCACCAACTTACTGTTTTGTTCTGCTAAATATGCAAATACCACATACAACAGAGTGAGATGCATTTAAATGCAGAGTGCTACAACAATGTAGCAATTTAAAAGGTAGATTTAATTCATTTGCTACTGTTTCAAACTAAAAAAGTAAAAACTAGAAGGAAAATTATTTCCTTCATGATTTGGATTGGTGTAGATTTGTGTAACGTACATAGATAATGCCTAAGTTTTCTCAAAAAAAATATATGTAGCACTCAGCTGAGCAAGTAAATGTGCTTGAAGACAGCAGATGAAAAAAACACAGAAAGTGACAATGTTTACTTTAAGTTACTCCCAGCCTGTGCACACCTATACTTTGGTTTAAAAACACACTTAATGAGCCATTTATTTTAAGATGACATATAACAACTTATCACATATTCTAAGTACTGATAACCCCTCAAGTTTATGACCTACTAATTCATCCTAAGGCTCCTTGGCACAGCTTCTCAATGTCAAAATTTCAGTAACAAGAGACAGCTTTCTAGTAATATTTCACTGTGATTTCCAGAATACGTTGATGCTGCAAGAGCCGCAAAACACTTTGTAACTGCATTGAAGGGACAGATTCAAAGTCTGCCGAAGCCCCAAAATTTTTTTCATCAGATTTGCAACCTGGATCAGAACCCAAAGAAATAAGAGTGGAGACTTTTACCTCCCAATAACGCTCATTCTGTAAGTGACCATTGACTATATGAATTTGTAACACACCTACACACACAGTTACCTATACATACACACATAATAAGGAGAAAGGTGTTAATAACAAACCACAGCACAGATCTATGGAGCTAACCCTGGGGAGGAAAGCAGAACAACGCTGGTGCAGAAGGCCCCAGACATACTCTACATGCAGCACCACACGAGAAATTGTCCCTGAAACAGAGCAAATGCAGCATCACCTGTGTACATTATGCACGTACATCTGGGCCTTGGGTCAAACACAGAGAAATAAGCAGTTGCTATGTTTTTCTACAGGCACAGCCTGAGTTTTTCACTGCAGGCTGGTAACTTCTAGCTGGTGTGGGAAGTGAAGCCACGACTGTTTTGTCATGCAGCTCCTTCCAAGGTTTGGAGCACTCTGATTCATATTAGCCAAAATATTTTTGGCATGCTGGCAATCAAATGATGCCTGCCTCCAGCAGCAACAGGCTGGGTTGGGTTATGATGAAGGATAGTTTTCCTTTCCTTTGGCACACCCAGTCAGGTTGTCCTTAATTGAGGCTCACATGTAAGTACATGCACATTCTCGTAGGTTTATACATAAACATCACGTAATAACTATGATATAAGAGGTTCACATTTTATCAGATACATTCACAGCAGCGTTAGGGTAGCAGTGCTGACAAATACAGACAGATGCAATATTTAAACCAAACAATTGGCAGTAAAAATAAAAAAAAATATGTTTTCTCTTTTTGGGAGAGATGGGAGACACTAAGATTCAGCAGGGGACAAATTAACATGGTCATAATGATCCCAAACGTGATCTGTCCTCAATAGCTTTGCATCTGGATGCTCCCAGGAGATTCAGACTTCATTAGAACTTGGTATGAATTGAAATTCTGGAATTCTGAACACAGAATCCCACCAAAACCTGTGTACACTTATTTCTATCACAGCATTAGACTGCTTTCTGTACTACTGCCCATTCCCTTCCTTATTCGTTTGTCTGTCTCTGGCTACTGTGCAACTGAACTGCAAAATGATGTCTCAGGTTTTTTCTAGAATGTCTTCCCATGGTGGAGAGGAAGGATTGGGTAATGCATTTGTATCCCTGAGAAGGTATCTCTCAAGGAAAAAGCCCACAGAAATAAACGTTGGTAAGTCACTGGGGCTATGTGACAGGAATATACATCTACCGGTTTTCTAGAACGAACGAGTATTTATTGGAAAATTATTTGACAGGATTTTGCTTTAAATCAGCTTAATTCATATGCTAGAAACACTACATGTATTTTCTTATCTGTCTGGAAATCTTCAAATAAAAAAAATAAAGAACATGATTCAAATCTTTCGCCTTTAACAAAGACTAGAAAGTGCTACATACACGTCGTTGGTTTACTTTACAAAGGGCAAACACTAAATGATGTGTTTCTATTTAATATATCATGGGTTAAGCACTTGGGTCAAGCTGGCATGGTCAGAACCAAGTCAGAGGATGCTGTAAGAAGTTCTCTCTAGTACTGCCTTTATCCCGATGCTGTCCTGTGCTTGCCACACTTCTCTGGGCTTGAGCTGTCTTGTAGGAAGCAGAAATGCCCTGGCAGAGAAGCACACCACATCACAAAGAGGCCCGTGGCACTCCCCAGGGTTGCTGGTAACAGGCAGACTTGTACAGCAAACAACCTGCTTCAGCAACTCTCTGCAAGCAGAGCAGTCCCTTACTGATGGGCAATTGCCTTTGCGACCTTGAAGATCTAGCTTCTTTTAAAATAAGCATCTCCCTTGTAAGATCCTGACATATTCATCATCATATTTACCATCCGAACTCCAGTTTTACTTGATCATTTTTGACAGGGGAAATAACACTGTTATGACTTATTACTTGACCAGCATGTGATATGGTCACACAAGCACTTCTATAAGAATATGAATGTTTTTAAAATGTCTTATTAAAAATCTATTAACTTGAACTTCGTAAAGTAAATAGGACTAACTCTGTTCAAATTTATACCTCCATGTCCCCACTGGAGCAACAAGGTATAAATACAGGAACCGGTTCGCAGGAAGGAACCAGTGGGATACCAAGCCTACAGGGAAACAGAGACACAGGTTTGCTCTTCTTCACTGAGCAGATGGGCCAAGTGTCAGTGCAGAGAGCGCCTTGCTTTGCTGGGACAATCCAGGCAGGGTGACTTCAGGTGGCTCTGCTTTACAAATCTGGCCTGAGGTCCCCTTCCCCATCAAACAGCACGAGGCATTTATATCTGCTGTTGTTGGAAATAATGATTTTGCTGCTGATTTTAAAATTCAACTAAACATGAATGCAAAATATTCAAAAGGAATAAGCATTAGGGTTTAAATGACCTGAAAAGGTACAAAGGAATAAAGCTATGACAGAAAGCACATCAGTACTTATATGATGATGGAGCGTTAGTCATGCAAAATACACAAAATAGCCATTATTTAAATTACCCGTTGAATCAAGGTCATTTTCTAGGTTAGTAAGCTCATCTCCACCTCCAGTAACAGAGCATTCAGGAACCTCCTCGTTAGTATCTATCTCAATATTATCATCATCCTCATCCTCATCTGTAGGAACATACAGCATTAAGGTTAGTATTTTCTTATGTACATGTACCACATCACTAAAAAAAAAAAGAATGCTTTAGAGAACAAGCTGAGTTGTGATAAAACTGAAAATAATTAAATAAGTCTGGAAGGAGATTTCACTCTGTCCACTCATGGACTTATCTTTAAACTGATGCAATTCAATATACACACAGGGGGCTCTGCTGGAAACTCCTGCTACAATAAAGATAGAATCCAGGCTCCACAGTGGCTGTTCTCTGCGCTGAATCTCTGGCTAACTCTGAAAAGCACACATGCTTCTCCTTATAATTCGAGTCAAAACAATTTCCCCTAGGCTCCCAGTTCTCTAGAATGCAGAATGGGTGCTGAAGCCAGCATATGGCAGGTTTGGATGGGTCTCGCCAGCAGAAGGACCGGGGAGCTACAGTCTCTTGAGAAAGGCAGCAGCTCTGGGTACAGAGTTCCCAGCTTGGTGAGACTTGCTACTTCTTCCTTTGCACAATATATTACAGACCAGTGACCAATGTACCTTGCTTAGGTGTTAGCGTCTCGTCCTGCTTTTGATACAAGGGGGAAAAGTATCCCCTGGAACATCATGCTTAGCAAGAGCTGATCTCAGGTGTAGCAAGAGCACACGCACAGATTGTTGGCTTGCTGCACCACTTTGAATCAGCATTGTTTGTAAGCTACATATATTTTAAATAAAATAATTGTAATTATACTTTTTTTAATGGGATCTTCCTACCAAGTTTCTCAGTGCAGCTTATGAATATCACTTGTAAATGAGCCCCATAATGTTTTATGAAGTAGGCAATTATTATAATTACAATTATGATGATGTAGGTAAATTATGGCACAGAAAGAGTAAGTAACCTGAGGAAGATCAAATAGCAAGTGCTGAATTGTGAAGAGATTCCAAAAAAAATCCTGACTCACATTTTCAATACGAATATATAATGAAATTAAAGTCCATAAAAGCTAGATTAGTACTTTCAAAGCATGTAGTTGCATTGTATTTACTCACTTTTAAGTCTCATATCAAATGCTATCTACACTTGTTCAGATTTATGCAAACATTTTTTTCCCATGTATGTATGCTTGTGTGTAAAAATGACAAAAAAGAGAAGGCTGAAGTGTGTCTGGGAAAAAAAGTCACATATAGCAACTAAAGGAACTTCAACGTACTTCACGACAGGAAAAAAATACTAATTATAATTAGAGGACATTGGTACATTCAAACACCATCTAAACAAAAATGATCCTAAACATAGTACCAAGATGCCATAATCCCAAATGCCAGAAGTTTGGGGAACTTGAAATGGATCAGGATTGGTGCTGATCACTCATCACCTGTCTTTTAAATACACTAAACCTCATCGCCAGCCCTCAAGTTTGCACTTCAGGTCCACACTGCTGACATGAAGGTCACACAGTTGTTTCTTTTCTTTACCTCTTTCATCTCCACAGTCCCTACCATTCCCATTTTAGGAGCCTGTAGACTTTTTTATATCTGCTACTCTTTTCTAACCAGCTGCTCACTCAATTCCTCTGTGATTCATCGACACCTTTTGCAGACCTCTGCCAATTCAGGGTAAGGCTCTCGCTGTGACAAACAGGAGCAAAGAAGTTTCCATTTGAGTGTCTTACTCAACATCTGCTGCATGTATGATGGAGCAGCAGCCTGTGAAGTAGGACCACTCCATCTCAGCTGACCACCATGACTTCCGTGGGCTCCTGTCCACTAATTCTTAATGGTCTCTGGAAGAATCAGCTTTCTTCCAAACTGCTCCAGCTTGAGCCAGATGGATGGTGAAGAACATCTCTCCCCAGTCAAACCAGGATCTGCGAACAGGCCTGGGACCTGACAGATGGTGCTTCATGTATACAACCGGGTGGGCAGAAACACTCAGGACTCTCCGTGATATTCTTTCTGTTCCCACTTAACTTCACACAGATGGCTCTGTGATCTGGACTCTAGTTGTTTCAGGCAGCACAGAGGTAAGTGAACGAGGTAGAAGGGCACGGCGTGATCATGATGAAGTAAAGGATGGTGTAAAAAGCAGACTGAAGAGAAGACAGAGAATAGTAAAGCAGCAACAGCAACTATTTTGAAGTTTTGAATTTTCTTCTAAGCATCTCTACTTTTTCTAATGAGGAGCTCATTCTTACATGATTTTAAATCCTTCATGAAGGTGTCAGAGAAATTCAGTGGCGCTCAGGCCATGGTACTCTCAAAATGCATCCTGGAGCTCACGGTGGCACACTGAAAGTGTGACCAGGGTAACAGCAGCAAAGGGCCATGGACACTTGGAAGAAGTGGAAGAGAAAGAAAGAGGGACACTGCCACAGCAGAGGGAAACCAAATCCACCTTGAGGCAGGCAATGACTTTCCAAAGCACCCAAAGAAGTCAGCTCACAAGGTCAGCTCACAACTACCAGTTATCCAGCAGGATGCTGGATGTGTCAAAACAATCTAAACAAGATGACAGGGTTTAAGACTGCCAGATACTAAGGGAATGCTTATATTAGATTATTTGATTTTCTTTAATTTAATATAGTGAGATGAGATCAGAGGCACTGTCTTTGACACCACCATTTTAGGTAACAAAAGAGATGGGAATGTCGAAGACACTAGTTCCTAGTGTCAGATAATGACCTGACCTAGTATTTAATTTAAAGCTGGCAGGCTTTGACTGAATATGATTATCAGGACATTTACACTTTATTAAAAAAAAAAAAAATTCAATAAAAGCGTTCATATGAAGTAATGTCAGAAATTTTCAAATATCTTTCAAAATCTACAGATTCCTTGTTTTAAACTATGCTAGGGTTTTTTTCCAGTCCAGTGTTCTTCCAGAGCATTAAAAAGGGAAATGTGTTTAGGAAGCATGTTACAACAAGATTTTGCAATTATAAATGATAAAAGGAACAACATGACGAAGAGATAACAGATATCTTCTATGAAAAGAACAAATTACTAGTGTGAAAAACTTAAAGGACTTGGTCTAGAACCAGGGCACATATTTAGAAGAGTACTAAAGAACTGCTTCCTCGAAAAGTATGTAAATGTGGATCCTAGAAAGACAGCAAAACTTTACTATGTCATGAAGAAACTAACAAAATTAAAGGATTAAGTCAACAGCTAAACAGCACTGACTGTTACCTACACAGCCTGGACTGCAGAAAGCGAAATAATAATCTTTTGGAACCAAATGGAAACACCAGAATATTGGTGGGAAAAAGATCCAGAGGCATTTTATAGCCCATATGTCTTACTATTCAGATTGGGCTCAGGCTTAACTTGTGGTTAAACTGATACTCTCCTGACTTGGTTTAAACTTGTCCACATGTGAAGAAGTTGCAGCAGACCACACTAATTTCTAGACAAAATTAAAAAGGAACAGCTTTCATAGAGAGGTAAAAGCATTGACGGGGGTTGGATCACATTAATGTGAGAAGCATAGGTAAGCTGCCACTGGAGTTGCATCAACAGTACTTGCACCTTAGGGAAGGTGCCTCCAGGATTGTCTCCGGGAAATCCTTCAAGCTTGTGGTTATTCAGATATTTAGTTTATTTACTTTCAGGTACAGAGTTCACTTTAAGGCTACAGGATGTGACAGAAGCACCTTAACAGTAATAGAGGAAGCAAAGGAGAGGAATGGAAGAAATGCAGAGTCGAAATACTGGTTTGGTGTATCAGAAATCAGATACCAGGACAAGAAAGTGCAGCAGTAACTGCCAAATATTGCCTGCTAAAAATATTAAAGTGAGGACTTAACACTGTTTTATCAATCGGAGACTAAACATGATGAGTAAGCCTGAGCTACCACGTACATTCCCCCCAAATCATTGCCTCAGAAGTAAAATCTGTAAAGTACCCTGAAAACTTTAAACATACAAGTGCAATGCAACGCCAGCTGGCTCTCTATGGTAAGTTTTTTAACTGCAGTACACCTTTCCAGATTTTGTTATTAATTCCAAAATTTCTGAAAACTTTTTTTGTCTTGCAATACATTTGGATGCTGCTGCTTCTGTGTTTTTCCCTCCCTGCTCATCTAACATCTCTTTTCTGTGTTGTTCATGTGTTCATTCTCTTCGCCTCCCCCAGTTTTGCATATTTTTGGCACTTTTTCCACCAAAGCCTCTTTACACTATGCTTGTCTTACCCCCTATCCTCTCCATTGTCCCCTCCCTCCACCACCTACTCACCACCTCCAGATCTGAGCCACATCCTCACAAAGACATCATCTCAAATAATAGATGAAAACGGGCCAGAGAGTAGAGAAAACACACTACCCAGATCTCAAAAGACTAGATGGGTGTCCCACTGCATGGGGACAATACCTAGATAAGATGTCAATTCCTTTGTCCCATGGCTGCTGGAAAAAGGGAGGATATTTGGATTCCTATCTCGATACTGTCCCCAGACCCATCTCACGGCATCTGCTTATCAGCCTGAAGCTAGTAGGACATCTAATAAATTTGAAGCTGCCATCCCAAACTCTCTGGCAGTTGGCAGGAAGAAGTATTTTCTGTCTCACATGCCAAATAACCTACGAAAAAGACTGGATTTCGTAGCAAAGGATGCTGCTTATCCAGGAAACTTTCAACTTGCCATAGGCATTCGAGTTTTTCAGACCATGATTAAATAAAGCCTTTTAACAGAGAATGTAGCACCACTGCCAAAACATGAAACTTCCTAATGAGCATACAGAAACATTGAAAGAGATCACATTTTCACCTACAATAGCGAGCAAGAAGATAGTCTTTAAAAACTCCAAAATCCTAAAGCTGAAATGTCACTTTTATCTGGAATAACTGAATTGAAAGAGAAGAAAATGATATGGTACATTCCCTTTTTGGAAATTAAAGCATAGCAGTCAATGCAGAAGAAGAGATTGCTGAAGCATAATGGACAAGCGAGCTTGGAAGACATAAGACATTACTATAAGGTTGTCTTGAGTATTGTATAGGGAATACAGGACTACACACAGAAAAAACCCTACTACATGTGAATGCAGTCAGGGGCAATATTCAGAATCCAGTTGTTAAGAAGGAGACTGTCCACTAAATCCTAATTTTTGGTGGAAATAAAAAAACCTAAAAAGACTAAACCCAGAAATACTTATAATTTATTTGTTTAATAAAGTGTCGGTGCTGTTTCACAGAACTACTCCATTTTAGAAGAATGAATTCCTGGAGTGGAGACCTAATGTGGCACCTGACCTTACCAGCAATGTGGTAGAAGTATGTGGAAGATGTGCCATAACAAAAGCTTTTTGAGAATAAGTAGAAGAAAATGCTATAAAATGCACATTGATGTGAAAAGAACAAAGAGGAATAAAAGGAGAGAGAGAATGAAAACTGGAAGTGTAAGAGAAGTTCAAATAGCTTGGCTGAACTACTGTATGAACAAAGAAAAATCAAGGTAGGACATATAAGCCAAGAAGAGAACTCAAAGCACACACAAAAGTAGAAAGCAGTGACGTTGTTATACTGGATAAACCCCAACAGGTACAGTGGTAATAACTTTATAAACAAGCAGTCATCAGTACTGATACTGTCTTCTCCTTCAATAACATTAAACTCTCTGTGTGCATATGCAATCTATATATAAATACTTTGGGTTTGGTTTTGGTTTTTTTTAATATATATGTGCAGCTACCTCTGAGACAGATTATAAACTGAATGAAGAGTCGGAAAAGCAATGGCAAAATTCAGAGGAAAATATGAACAGGGAAGGCCACATGCCAGAAAGCAGCATATTGGAATATTTAGCAACATTACAAGTGAGTCACTGTGACAAAACAATGTAGCTACTATCCAGCTGAGCACTCGGAATATACCCAGAAAATACACTTTACTTGGAGGGGAGAGATGGCAGGAACAGCTATGTACAGGCACAACAAAACAGTGAGGAGGAAGTAATTAAAATAATGTAGGATGGGGAGTCATAAATTGCAAAGAGGGATGAAGAACACCATAGTCTACTTAACATACAAGTACTGTGCCATTTGGCTCAGCCTTAGTCCCTCCCCATCAAGGATTATTTTCCCTGTTTTATCAGGAAAGAGAGTTATGTTGACAAGCTTGGTTTACTGGGCAAAGAGAGGAAAACGGAAGACCAGACCCAAAGGGAGACATACAACTGCTTTTCTATTTGGTGTTAAATTGAACAGAAATGTAGGGTGCAATAAGACTATACTTAAATATGTATGCATATAAAACACACGTAGTAGAGAAGTAAAAAATGTTGTTGGTGAGTCTACGCACACTGTGAACGTAAAGCTGGGTTTGCCTGACCCGTTGGCTTACAATTACCTGTTAGTATGAGAAACATAGTTTCCCCTTAGAATACGTAGAAGACACTAAAAGAGCAAGAAACTTGTATTAAAATGTGTGCTCAGCACCCACTGGAGTTTGAGTGACACTACATTACTCCAGCTCATAGCACTGGCAGGTATACAAATTTTAATGACATTTCAAAGTCAGTTTAATAACATTATAGCAATATTACAACTCAAAACGTGTAAAGGCAAGTGGTATGACAAAGACTGATATTTAAAATCAAAAGGTTGCTGCCCCCACCTCCCATGGGCTGCCTTTAAAATTTTCTTCCCAATCAGTCTTTTGAACTCATCTAATACAAAATAAAGTTTCTTAAGTATTTCTAATGTTGTTTTCCCCAAAAATTATGTCTGTGCACCTATATAAAAACATATATTGAAGAGATTTGAACCAACAATCATAAAATTCTAAAAAACTGTAGGTAATGACAGCTCTGTAAATAATGGGCCAATATGAGCTACTCCTTCATGTAACATCTTTTTCTTTCAATCACACACATGCTTTTCTTTTAATTGTTGGAAATTAAGTGACACAATGCTGATTTAGGAAACATATCGATGGCCAGGTCTTTTGATATGTGCACCTGATGAGCAACAATGTTTTGAAGTGTGAATAAAAGTGATAGCCAAAAAGGTCTCTGGTTTCCAGGTTGCCAGAGGAATAAGATACAAGGTTCCTCAGCTCACCTCCAGATGCCTTTGACCTTTCTTTCAACTTTTCTGCAGCCATTTCACCGTAGCTAGGAAGTTCTGACATCTTCACTCCAGATCGAGCTTCTGCTATTAGCTGACGAGCTCTCTCTCTCAGCTGCCGACGCCGCTCTTCATCTTGCTGCTAAGATATATTGAACAGTTGCCAACTCAGTAATTGACAGAAATGCAATTTCATTCTCAATCTGATCATCATGATAGTAACTGGTTTACAGCATGGTGCTTGGCCCACACTATAAATAGGATGCTGGATATCAGTTGGGTGTCACACTACAATTTTTAAAAACATCTATGAACCAGACTTTTTTTTAAAGCATTCCCCAAATTATTAACACATTAGAAACCTAATTATTTGGAATTTAAAGCATTTATAAATTATGTTTTATAAAAATACCTTGATGAAAATTCTCAGACACTTTTGTCTCAAAGTAATAACTACAAAAAGTTTCACCGTGGCTACAAAAATGGTTTTACTAAATTCCATTACTTGAGTAATATTCTCTCATAAAACTGAGAAGCCAGATGTTGCTCTCTGTTACTCCAGTCACGAAGCTGACTTCAAAGTGTGAAGTGACATTGAATCTGAGGCATGGAAAGGAATCTAATCCTTCGGCTTCAATGCATACAACTTTTTTTTAAAAAAAAAAAAACAACACCAACAAACTAATGAAAGAACAGACGCCAGAGCAGACTTTGCATTGCTTTAAAACATCCTACTAGTGGGGCTTTGGTCAGCAATTAAAGAGATCCTATTGGAACCATCCCAGATAGTGCTGTCCCACTAAAGCTTGTAACTGTCTTAGAACCATGATAATATTTCAGTGATGTAAATGAGCAAAGTTCTACAGCATGAAATTTCGGAAGACTAACCCACCATACTAAAAAAGTATTAACAAAAAGAGGCGTTTAAACATATCTGTAAGAATCCATTAAACCATAAGGGAAACAATTTCAGTTTTCCCCTTAAAAAAATATTATTTTTTTCAAAGCTAGGACTGGTTTTCCCCTCCCCTCAATATTAGAAACAGTCATAAGTGCAACAAAGTCAGCGTTGGCTTTAAGTCAAATCTGCCGACAAGTTCATATTACTGACATAACGACCAGCATAAAACCCAGGTACAGACAGCTGACCTGAACGAAGTGGAATATAACAAACTGCCTAATTTTGGAGAGCCGTCCTGGCAGCCTTCCCACCAACCCAGAAACGGAGCATCCCATACCTGCAGATGCTTGTGAGAGCTGCTGCTAAGTGCTATTTAGTTCAAGCAATCATTAATAAAACAAGCGCAAAATACTAATTAGGTACATTTTATCCATTTCCATGTAAATTGTTTGTTTGTAGCTATTTACTCAGCATTGTTCTTGGCACAATAGAAAAAATGCAAATGAGTGAATCAGAATGCAGCCCTAATGGGACTTTCTGTTTATAACCATTAGCCCAGAGGTGTGCTGTAATTTAATCCTCAAGCAGCAAGATTTAGCCTCATTAACAGCTTGCATGGGCAGGTTACAACTCATAAAACCCTACAGTAAACAAAGTATATGGACACAGCACAATATCTTGTCTCTGAGTGACAGAACCCTGATTCCCTATCAGATTGCCTTGATTTACTTTTCTCCTAATGTCCTTCCCCTGGAAAGACAATTCTGCCTGGGCCCTGCAAGGCAGAGGGATGGCACATTGGCTTTGTTTGCTTTCTCACCCTTTAACTTCCCAGAAGGCACAAAGCAACAGTTCTATCAAAAACTTATTTGGTAAAGTACACATTAGAAAGGCAACTGGAAAGCTTCCCCCCCCCCGCTCCTATGCATTATAATAGATCAATTTAATTTAATTTCTAGCCAGCCAACTGACACAGCAACCGGTTTTATTTCAACCCGTGTTATTCGGTAACATTAATTACATTGAATTTTACATGAAATAAAACTGCTCAAATCTCTACTCTTTGCAATTCGTGGGATATAGGAATTTGTGGGTTTGATTTAAATTACTTTTAAGAAGGAATATGCAAAATTTATATTAAGATTCCCATGTGGTTTAACGTCAAACAATTTAATCTGCTATAGCCCACGTAGTTTAAAATAAGGCCAGTTACACGTTTGTGACAAATGTGCTCTAAACTGAGCAGACTGATTTCCCCCCTCTCCTTTTCTCCCCTCCTCCTGAAAGAATTTGTTTCCTGAATTATTAGCATAGTCATTAACATCCCGGGGATCTCCAAGCAAACACAGATTATTGTGGCCTGTGTTTGTGCTGATTAAGCCAATCATCACCAGCAGATAAGACAAAAACCAGCCTAGTTCTTGCTTAAATTCAATTCAGGTATTTGAACCCTTGGTTACTGAGCTTGGCAGAGGAAACACTGGTGGAAGGAGCAATGAAACTGAGAGCAGAAAAGTAGGTAGATTAAGTTTTAAGGTACAGAACTATTATTAAACAGCAAATCAATCCCCTAGATTTTGGAAAGGAAAGCGCTCAGGGGATGTATGAAGGCATGAACAGAGATACTAAAAAAAAAAGAGAGAGACACAAAGAGAAGCTCTGCACCAAGAAAGGACCACGCAATCACACATGCAGTGATTTTTTTTCCTGTACAGTTGAAAACTCAGTAAAATCTTTCACCCTCTGATGTGAACCTGACACGCCAAAGAGACATTAAAGTTTGCTCTGTTATTCTCCCCCAATTACTTTGTAACGGTCTAAAGATCTGCCATGCGGATGCACAGCAAGGAAAACTTCACCATTTAAGGACAAACTCTTCAAGAATAAGTAATGTAATTCCTTGTTTCCCTCCTCTAAAAATGTATTGGTATGCAATTTTTATATTTCACAGTTCACCGACATCTCAGCAAGCTTTCTTCCACTGCTTCAATGGTGCTACTTTTAATTTTATCCTCCTTAGTCCTAGTAATTAAAGTGATCAGCAGTGGCATCCCAACGGCTTTGACACAGCTACAACCCCCTAGCAGACTCTGGCTTTTAAGGGGATGGGGAAGAAAAAAAGGATGGGAGTTTCATTTCACTGGAACAAGAAAATCAAGCTTCTCCAATTCTCAACTTTATCCAATTGTTCTTTCAGCAGCCTTTGGATCTTAAGAAACAAATAAAAATGGCTGCCATTAGGGGGTCCTTTTTGTACTCGTCGCAGACAGCAATGACTGACATTACTTTGGCCAAAAATGATGCCATGGATTTGGGAAGGTGAATTCGAATGTGAAACACTGGCGGGGCAGTTTCCGAGATGATTACCCAGCCAGCGATGTCACTCGGTGGCAGCAGAAGCCAAGAGCTGAGCAACTCAGTAAAATAGTGAGAGCAGTGGAGTCTTGCAGTGAAAAAAACCCAATCAAACAAACCACAACCACCCCCATAAAACCCATCTCTAAGTCACTAAAAATTCTGCAATCTTCTCGCATTTTCAAAAAGAAACCTCTGCCAGTGATTTTCAGTTGTCATTTGGCAGAATTTTGGGAGGATCCAAACTGAGTTAACACCAGAATTCTGATAACGTGTTACTCTCTCCCTCCAAAAAAATCATAATCCTGTGAGCTGCATTTATTTGCTGTTTAAAAAAGACAATTCTTTACTGTGCACACAGACTGGGGGAAAAAAAAGTGGCAAATTAGTGATACTCCATAGCAACAAAATTAAACCAGGATTGTACCTACGAGGGGGAACGATTCCCATAGCTGTAGGTTTCAAAATTGTCCGTGGTCTGCCCCAAGTGCACAATACATCTAAGAGAAAGAACTTTACTGCCACCTCTTTCATCATTAGACAGGAAGAACGGCTCTGTTATTAGCCATTCAGAAAGAAAAAGACTTCTGTGCTTGTCCAGAGGCAAGGATTACCAAAATGTACCTATTCAGTTAGTAGAGAGACAGAATAAAAAAAAATTAAAAAAAAAAATATTACATGAGCTTTAAAGGTTTGGGCAGGCTGGGTTTTACTGTGACCTTGATCGGCTCTTGTTTGAGTAAATAGGATTTGGGATGAAACATTAAAACTGTTTAGAAGATCTTTTCAAACCATTTCAAACTTTTCTTATGTTGGTTCATAATATAACCAGACATGCTTGTAAATGGCCACACCTGCTCATTTCTCTGGGGATGGCCTGATCTCTGCCTTTTCTAACAAAGAAAGGACGGGAGAAAAAAAAAAAAATCAGCCTTTCTTGTTGCAAACCAGAGTGGAAAGTCAAAATCTTTCTCAAGTTTGTCCCATCTGGTCAGATTAAATCTTTGATCACCCTGGGGACCACATTTATGTTTGGGCTCTACTACTGTTTCAGAATGGCTCAAAATACACAGGTAGCAGCAAAATACGAATTGCTAAGCAGAAAACACTCAACGTAAACCAAAGCGCACTGGCTTTGGATTTCGGCAGCTAGTCAGATTATAGGAAGTGGTCAGCAAAGAGAGATATAAACATCTTAGATATTTTCTGCCTTCTGCCTGGTCTCTGTATCAGCTGCCTTAGTACCAGTAAACTACATGTAGCTTGAAAATATTTTTTCATGAATGCGTATCACAGAAAGTATCAAATCACTTGTCATAAAGAAGCAACTACTGGCTTACAATCTACGGCACTAATGGACCAATGAGACAAGACAGAACGAAAACAGAAGTGGCCTGAAGTCTACAACTAGAAGAACCACAAACAACGTCTTAACAAAGCTGTCCCCTTTAAGAAAAAAACACCCCCAAAATTCACAATAAGATGGGGTTGCACAGATGTAAAATGGAAAACAACTCTTTAAACCTAGGGTGTATTTTTAAAGAAATGTTAGCCAGAAATTTTCATTTCTTTTTTTAATATAATCTATGTTGTTCTGGAAAACCTACAATTCACTTGGTACAGTGTTTCTGGTGTGAAGAATGCTGGCTGTAGAAAAACAACCATTGTTAATTTAATTCCTCGTGTCGTTGTGAAATTGAGAAACTCTTAGTTTGCTGAATGAAAAAAAAAATATATATTTGATAAAAAGAATGGCTGACTAAGTAAGTATCACCTTGTGCTACATCCAAGGCCTCTTGCTGGTTGTCTGGCTGCTCTTTTGTAGGCAAAAAGGAGCTGAACGCTCTCTGGCTCCTTAGATCTGGCCCAACAAATGCACTGCCAGT